CGTTTGTCCATAACCATTTTTGTGCCTCTGAACCAGTCTATCGAACCAGTTTGGTCCAGTTCTAGGTGGTTGTTGATATGGTCTAGAACTGGGTTGTCCTCTGGTTCTATTTCCATTAAAGGATCGGTTCTGAAAATCAGGTTTTTTATTAGGTTGAGTGTTCCTTGGAATATAACCGAGACCAGCAGTCTCGTTTTCCTTCTTATTGTGCCGAGGGGGACCAGTTCCAGAATAAGGTCTAGACCTGGTTTTGTTCGTAGCACTATATGCTTGGTATTCCGGTCTATTTTTAAAATTTGTACACTCGGCAACAAGACGATGAAGATGATCAATCAAAGTACCAACGCTCGGAATTTTTGAGAGAAGTTTTTCATCATGATTAACTTGTTTGTTCATACTATCGAGCTTAAGAGAGCAAATGATTTTATCTTGTTCTAAAACCACTTCACTGTACTTAAGCCTTTCATCTATTAACTCTCCCACTTTTGTTTCAAGCCTTATCTTGGCTCTCGTGGCTTCCTCGAGTTTAGACTCAAGCTCAGTGATTTGTGATTTAAGAAGATCATTTTCAGAAAGGTTTTGATTAAGCTCAATAGTCAATCTTTTGAAAATTTTCCGGGCTTTGGTTTTGGATAGAGAGTCAAACTTAGATAGAAAATTTTCAAAGTTTACCTCGAAGCTCTCTTGGTCGGATTCCTCGTCGGAGTGTGCCATAAGACATAGACCTGTATGGTTAGAGTTCTTATCACTCTCCTCTTCTTCGTCATCGGACGAGTCTCCCCAGGCTGCCATCATTGCCCTTTTGAGATCTCTTTTGAACCCTTTGTCTTTGCTGGACCTCCAGTTAGAACTGGACTTGTTCTTGTCGTAGGTCCGGTCATTTTTCTTTTGTGAACAGTCTTTAGCCCTGTGCTCAAGGGAACCACAAACAAAGCAGCCTTGGTTATTAAAAGATTGAAAGTTATTTTTACCTTGTTTGTTCCGGTTGTTCTTGAACCGTCGGTACATCTTCCCGAATTGTCTAGCAAATATGCTCATCTCATCTTCCGATTCACTTTCGGATTCTTCCTCCTCTTCTCGAGCTTTTAAAGCAATTCCTCTCTCTCGCCTAGCACTCTCGGCATCTTGTTCTTCTTGAAGACCTAGTTCATATGTCAAGAGTGATCCAGTCAAGTCTTCAAGCGTCATGGTGGATAGATCCTTTGCTTCTTCAATAGCCGTGGTCTTCGGCTTCCATGCTTGGGGCAGACTTCTTAAAATTTTTCTTACTTGATCTTCCACTGTAATTTTTCTTCCAAGGGCTGAAAGCTCATTGATGATATTAGTAAAACGTGTAATCATATCCTTAATTGACTCTCCAGGCTTCATTACGAATAATTCGTAATTACGCATAAATATGTCAATTTTAGATTTTTTTACACGTGAGGTACCTTCATGAGTAACCTCGAGCAAATCCCACATTTGTTTTGCAGTCTTACATCCTAGAACTCGGTTGTGTTCAGCAGGACCAAGACCACAAATCAAGTATTTAAGAGCTTGGGCATTATGCTCGAGTTTTTGATAATCATTAGTAGTAAATTCAGCTTTAGGTTTAGGGAAAATTTTACCTTCGCCGTTTAGCTTTGTGATGACGTTGTCGCCACCTTCTATCACATTCCATACCTGATAATTATCGGCTTTGATAAAGTTCTCCATTCGGCTTTTCCAAAATTGATAGAACTGGCCATTGAACATTGGAGGTCGTACGGTCGAATAACCTTCTTCAAGACGGTCAACCGTGTTCATTTTGCCGGATCTCTTCCCAAGGTATTAACCTCTATGTGGTGAAGACCGGCTCTGATACCAATTGATGAAAACGGTTAGCAACACAAGAGGGGGGGTGAATTGTGTTCGTGTGGAACCGTGATAGTTTTTCGCCGAGTTCTAGTGTGGGATAAAGGGAATTGGAAAATAGTAAAGTGCACAAGAATTTAACGAGGAAAAATCCCTTGGCTCAAAGGGATTAAAAAACCTCGACCTCCCTCGGAGGAATTTTAACAACTTCACTAAAAAGCCTTTGAATGATTACAAGGGAAACTCTCCTAGTCTACCCTTGAGCCACCCCAACTCTATCCTCTCTAGGAAGAGTTACGCTTCTCTACCTTGCGGGTAGAGAGCCTCTCAGCTTTACAACAAAGCTCTCACTCACACAAAACAACCCGAGGAGGCTACTCTTAGCCAATCCTCAAAACCCCATTACAATGTGAAGAAGGGAAAGAAGAAACTCTATCTAGAACTCCGAGTGAGCAGTTTCAGGTGCCTTGAACTTCGTATTTTTCTCGAGTGTCTCTCTGAATATTTCTCTGGTCAAGCACACCCTTTTTCTTTCTGGCTGCTCGATTATATAGTCGCTTGAGATGAGTCCGTTGGAGCTTTCCTTGTATAAATGATTCTTGCCTTGTTATATTTTGAAAAACTTTCCATCTTGAAAGCTAGATCCTCATCCGTGCATGGAGATTGATTTGCTCAAAAATAATCGCTACCAAGATATTTTATACACTTATCATAAATAGAGATGCACACGGATCATTCAGAGATGTCAACATCTCAAAAAGTATTTATTTAAATAAGAAATTAAAGCTTTTTGAATCAATCTAAAAAGCTACGGTCAACAAATTGCAAGGCAACTTTCCAAGCTGATTTGAAAATATTTCCTTACAAAGCAGGCTACGGTCAAAGTCATTTATAAGCAAGACAAACCATGTATATCATGCAATCATAATATACCAAGTAAAGAAACTTTCCATAAAGTGATATGCCACTCAAATAAGCACTCATATAATCAAATTACGTATATATTATTCCCTATAATATTCTTGACAAAGAATGATCACTCACATAAGGAAAGCACATTAATTTTCAAGTAGGTGCAATCAATATTAATTCAAACCATATCACGGAACAAGAACTGGGAGCGGTTCTGTCCGTCGTTCCACCTGCATGGTTAGTACGTCATCAAGTATAGACCAAAAGTAACACTAGTCGTTTGTCATCAACAAAACAATATGTTCCAACAATAATAAATGTATTTAGATTACAATTTGAACAATGTTTTTCTGTATTGGATCTACAACTCTTTACAATTAAACATACTTTACTTAAAATTAATTTAATTAGTTTAGATTACTATTTGAATAAAGTTTGTTTTGTATTGGATCTACAACCCTTTACAATTAAACATACTTTACTTAAAAATAATTTAATTAGTTTAGATTTTATTATTCTTTGGGGGAGGTTTTTCTTTAGAGATGAATGATACATTGTACGATTTCCTGTCATTCATTCCGTTGAAAATTAGGGTCTCTGGCTCAACGAAGATGTTGATGAAAGAGGAGGTTGCAGTGTCTCATAGGCTAACAGAGACTTTAATTTGTAGGACTCGATAGTGTTTCTAACATTGGTTAGTATTCTGATGTGCGAGACTGCTTGTTGCTGGTTGGTGGCGGCGCCCTTACATAAAGCAAAGAGAAGAGCGAATGAAGGGTAGTTCAAAAGAGTTGCGTTGTAAGTCTCCTAAGGATCACATTTGAGGGATTTGTCCCTTGTGAGAGTTTTGAATTGCATGAAGGTGTAGTTCAAGGGACATACATGTGAAGGTAATCTATTGGGTTCATGTCATAGACAAGTCTCGGGTTGACCGCTAACCCGGGATTGACGTTGCCTGCACCGAAATCAAAGGGAGTGGTTTGTTGTCGTGTGGCGGCGGCAATGAGTGTGCCTCTGCTGGGGTACTGCATGTAAGCCGTTGTCATAAGAGTGGGCCGAATTGCTGTCAGGCTCCACTTTGGGTTAGCTACTTTGAGCACTGCGGCGAAGCCACTAACGTGAGGTCAAGATATAGAAGTTTTTTATATGATGTTGAAGTCAACCCGTGTGGGATCATTTTCTATCCCAGTTTGACTTACCCCGTCGCTCCACGCGGCCAATATGTTGAACTATGGTGCAATCAAATCTGGCTTGAGAATCTCCGACGTGGCAGGATTTGGGCCTCGCGAACTTTGCGCCTGTGAGCTTGTTGTTGCATAAAGATTGGTTCTTGAAACCACGCCCTCCTCTCCATGAGCGTGGTTTCTCAAAAGGGTATCCCTGATTGTTGAAGCTCTTACTCTCCGGCCACACCTCGGTATCCAGCACTCCCACCACCACATCAGTTGACGCCTTCTCACACACCGTGGAGAATGCATTGCTGTTTTCTACGCCCAAAAAATGGTGTGCGGGTGGTATGAAGATGCGAGATGGTGTCCACCATCACTGTCATAACTTGTGGTCGCTCTCTGAGGGCCTTGGCTTCTATGGCTGTAATCCTGGTTGTAAATCCTTTTATGTGTGCTTAAAAAGTATCTTATTTCCGCTTCGGTCGACACAAATTTGAGGGATGAAGTGTACCACCCTATTTGTTCAGTGATCACCTCCATCCCTTCTACTGCATCACAGAGCATCAATATAATGTATTTCTGTTTTCTCTTCAGTGTGACTGTCGCATCACTCATCAAAGAATACTAAAGCAGCATCACGAGAAAAAACTGTAAAATATTTTGCCTGTGTTTCCCCATTACCTTGGGTTTAATTATGTACTATCAGAAAACTCAGATAAAACAAACTAATACTAGTAGGTTGAAAGTCGACATGAGGCTAGGTGAGGAAAAACTACGTGTCTAATAATTTTGTCATCTCTTGTATGTCTATATATATATATAAAGCAATTCCTTTTGAAAACGGTTCTTCCACGTATTATAATATTTTATTGTATGTTCTCTCCTTCCCAAACTTTGCAACTTTTTGGTCAATTAAGTTAAAATTTAACCAATGATATGAAAATGTTCTTTATTGAAAATACTTTTTGTCACGCCCCGGACCGCGTCCGTGCCACGTAGACAACCGCCGTACAACCCAACAAGAACAAGGTGGTTCATTCTTCTTAGATCATACAAGGCGTCCGTTAGATTCCTTTGCCAAACCGATTAGTAAACTCATACAATCAACATCAATATATATTAGTCAAACAAATGCGGAACGGAAAATATGTTTGATAATTAGCCACACGTGGCAAACACGAGCACGCAGGCCCTTTAATAGTTTAACAGAAAACATTGATCAAATATCCATGAGCAATTACATTGTTTCAAATAAGAATGGAAGCACGAACCACGTCTTCCTTATTGATGATCACCCTAGGCAAAGGTGCAGGAATCGGTCTCAAGCCTTAACCTGAAAAATGTGAGGGCCCCCAAAGGGGTCAGTATTCCATAGAAGTACTAGTGACAAGCAGGCTATATGAGGAATAACTAATGTCTCAGACACGAGACCCAAAAATAGGATGATACATATATTTATAGGTGTAACCATTGTCACCCCATTCCCAAGATAATACATACTGTATATACTTGTAAAATACTTGACCCGTAGGTCGTTTTCTCACAAAAGAGTCTTTTAGAGACAAGGTACTTACCTAACCTTTCCCCTTTCATTCCTGAATGCCTAGCTTAAAAGCTACATTCTACCTTCATAATATCCTACCGAGTTTCAGGAGTGTTAACCCTCCCGGGGATACTCAACCCCAACCGAGTTTTGGGATCATTTACCGTCCCGAGGATGCTCAACCTCAACCGAGTTTTAGGATTGTTTACCGTCCTGAGGATACTCAACCTCACCGAGTTTTAGGATCATTTACCGTCCTGAGGATACTCAACCTCACCGAGTTTTAGGATTGTTTACTATCCTGAGGATACTCAACCTCACCGAGTTTTAGGATCGTTTACCGTCCTGAGGATGCTCAACCTCACCGAGTTTTAGGATCGTTTACCGTCCTGAGGATGCTCAACCTCAACCTTATTTCTAACCAAACCCTAACCTGGATATGGCTAACCTTTCTTTCAACCAACTATGGACAATACCTAGCCCTATAGTCATATAACAATCCTTAGTAACCAACGTGGACGGGTCCCACCTGATCGGTCCACGTTAACCCACTCAAAAACTACCCGTTTTGAGTATAACCCAATACTCGATCGAGTACCCATCAATACTCGGTCGAGTACAGGAGACAGGAGCCCATAAGGCTAATTTACAAGGCATACTCGATCGAGTATCTATTCATACTCGATCGGGTATAGGAGACAGCAGCTATTAGGGCCAATTTTCAGCAGACACCCGGTCGGGTATGTAGTTGACTTGGCGGTCAACGCCCGTTTGACCGCCCAAACGGAGTCCGATTAACGTGAAATTTTACATGCATATTCTACTTGAAGTCCTTGATCCAAAAATACCATTTTTGACCCCTGGATCATTGTACATAATAAGTTATCACATTTTTAATCACCAAACATACAAAACATGCTTTTCAACTTTGTTTTATATATAATCATGGCATAAGCCAATACTTGATTAACTTTAATCATTCCGTAAAACATATCCTTGATTATTTTAGGTAACCTCATGCCTCAATCAAAAGTTATAAAGCATATAGCCGTCTCCTCACCTTAATGAAGCTTATGAAGTTCTAGCCTCCCCGATTTGGTCCCGGTGCAACTCCGGTGAACTTCAACTAACTCCGGCGACAACTCCGGCGACCCTTTCAACTCCGTGAAAGTTCTTGGAATACCTTATACAAGTTAATAACAAGGTTGTATCATCATAAAACCCATATCAACACTAATAACCTCTAAAAGGTTATTTTCCGGCAAACCCGTCAACTTTGCTCTCAAAGCTCGTTTTGGGTTTAGACCACTTTCCAACTCCTATTCTACAGCTTTACATGTGTAGAACTATCCTAGGAGTATGAAACATGATTAAGGAGAAGGAATGGGATTAATGAAGTCATTACCTTATTAACCACAAGTTTTCGCACCTAAAACTCCTCTTTTCTCCTCTCTTTTCCTTTCTTCTTCTTCCTCTTGTTCTTGGTGCGTGTGAGGATGGTAAGGATGGAGTTTGCAGAGATTCTCTCAGCTATGGGAGTGGTATGGACGAGTTGTATGACTTTGGGGTGATGGAGAATGCCTTTTTGGCATTTCTCATAATAATATCAAGGGTGAGGTCCACTTGCTTCATTGATTGGTCTTCCAATCAATTTCCCTTGCTCCTCCACATTAGTGTGCGGCTTCCCTACTGGTTTGCAGCATCAAAGTCGTGGGGTGGCCCCCACTTTGATGGGTGGTCATCCCTTTGTGTCCCCGAGTGTACACTCGGTCCCGAAAGTTGTATTTTCCGGACTATTTTAACTATATTTCATTTTATCGAGTCAAATGAAATATGTATCATTCTTCCAATTATTATTGGCTAATAGAATGAATGTATTTCCCCCAACTTTTAATTCGATGGTCTCCATAATTTATTATGGCTTTTTATCTGATATTACCTCGGTACCGATAAATGGGCTTTATATGCCCAAAAGGTTACTCACATAACTTCTATGGCCCAACCCGGCTATCCACCATTATACACATATTATCTTGACCCAAATGAATATAATATGTATCCCGATAATATCGGGCGGCCCCCACTTCCGATGTGGGCCCCACGTGAATTTTACTATTCACGTAAAAGAAATGATAAAAATTCACAATCCCGTAAAATGCGTTTATTCATTTCTTGGGTTCAATACATAATTTGATAAAGTACAAATACTTGGGAGCGGTGTTACAAGTTCTACCCCCCTTATTTGGGATTTCGTCCCCGAAATCCACGTGTCTAGTCAAACAGAAATGGATATTGTTCCCTCATCAGGGTCTCCACTTCCCAAGTTTGCTCCTCGACACGATCACTCTTCCAAAGTACCTTCACCATCGGTACCTCTTTACTCCTTAGCTTCTTTACCTGTCGGTCCATGATCTTTACCGGTTGCACCACATAGTGCAGGTCTTCCCGGATTTCTACCGGTGGTTTCTCAAGAATATGTGACGGGTCCCGTACATACTTCTTGAGCATAGAAACATGAAATACGTTATGAATCTTTTCTAATTCTGGAGTTAACTGAAGCCGGTACGCTACAACCCCAATCCTTTCAATGATTTTGAATGGGCCTATGTAGCGTGGGTTAAGCTTACCCCGACTGAGGAACCTGATGATCCCTTTCCAAGGTGACACCCTCAGAAATACCTCATCGCCGACCTCGAACTCTAACGTCCTTCGTCGTTTATCTGCATAGCTCTTCTGCCGATCTTGGGCAGCCTTGAGTCTATCCTGGATAACCCTCACCTTCTCCTTGGTGATTTCGACTAGCTCGATGCCCTCAAGCTTAGCCTCGCCTACCTCGTCCCAACACAAAGGTGTCCGACACTTCCTCCCGTACAATGCCTCGTATGGAGGCATGCCTATACTTGCTTGATAACTGTTGTTATAAGCAAATTCCACCAAGGCCAACTAGTTGTCCCAACCTCCCTGGAACTCCAAGGCACATGCCCTCAACATGTCCTCCAAAATCTGAATCACCCGTTCAGATTGCCCATCCGTTTGAGGATGGAATGCCGTGCTAAACCTCAACTTTGTTCCCATGGATTCCTGGAACTTAGGCCAAAACCGTGATGTGAACCGTGGGTCTCTATCCGATACTATCGTAACTGGAACCCCATGCAGTCTCACGATCTCATCTGTGTACAACTTGGCCAGCCGCTCAAGCGTATAAGTAGTGTTAATAGGCAGGAAATGAGCACTTTTGGTCAACCTATCAACCACCACCCATACCGCATCATAGTTTCTAACAGTCCGTGGTAGACCTACCACGAAGTCCATGGTAACATGCTCCCACTTCCATTCTGGAATGGTAAGCGGTTGTAATAACCCCGCCGGGTGCTGGTGCTCAGCCTTAACCTGCTGACAGGTAAGGCAACGGCTCACATATTCTGCAATCTCTCTCTTCATCCCCGACCACCAGTAACTTTCTTTCAAGTCCCGATACATCTTTGTACCGCCAGGGTGCATGGCATACGCAGATGAGTGGGCCTCCTCAAGAATAGATTTACGGAGCTCCTCATCTGATGGCACACACACCCGTTGTTTGAACAGTAAGAGTCCATCCTCTCTCTCCCGGAAACCCTCGACAGGTCCCGCCAGCATCCGCTCCCGGATTTTCTGAATTTCTTCGTCATTGCCTTGACGTGTTCTGATTTCATCTAATAAGGTGGGTCTCACCTCAAATCTGGCCAATAAAGCCCCATCCGTGGATACCTCCACATGTGCCCTTAATGCTCGTAAGCATGTGAGTAAAACCCCTGATGAACTTTTCCTACTGAGAGCATCGGCAACCACATTAGCTTTACCCGGATGGTAATCAATAATCAAGTTGTAATCCTTGATTAACTCCATCCATCTTCTTTGCCTCATGTTCAACTCTTTCTGAGTGAACACGTACTTCAAACTCTTGTGATCTGTATAGATGTGACACACCTCACCGTAGAGGTAATGCCTCCAAATCTTCAAAGCAAACACCACAGCTCCTAGCTCCAGGTCATGAGTGGGGTAATTCACTTCATGCTTCCTCAATTGCCGAGAAGCATAAGCAATTACCTTACCTGATTGCATCAGTACGCACCCAAGCCCCTGGATGCTAGCATCGCTATAAATGTCATACCCTAACCCCTGCACGGGTAGAGCAAGCACTGGCGCTTCGGTCAACCGTTTCTTTAGCTCAAGAAACCCCTTCTCACACTTGTCATCCCACACAAACTTAGCTCCCTTTTTAGTGAGCTTCGTGAGTGGAGATGCTATCACTGAGAACTTCTTCACGAATTTGCGGTAATACCCTGCTAAACCAAGGAAACTCCTTATTTCCTTCACATTCTTGGGCCTCACCCAATTTGTGACCGCTTCAATCTTCGAGTTATCAACTGAAATGCCCGAACCTGATACCACGTGCCCGAGAAAACCGATTTCCCCAAGCCAAAATTCACATTTAGAGAATTTGGCAAAGAGTTGCTTCTCCCGCAGTGTCTCAAGCACGAGCCTTAGATGTTTCTCGTGTTCTTCCTCGTTCTTGGAGTATATCAAAATATCATCAATGAACACTATGACGAATTGGTCCAAGTATTGATGAAATACTCGATTCATGAGGTCCATGAATGCCGCGGGGGCATTTGTAAGCCCAAACGACATCACTAGGAACTCATAGTGACCATACCTTGTACGGAATGCACTTTTGGGTATATCACTCTCCTTGATCTTTAGTTGATGGTAGCCCGACCTCAAGTCGATCTTAGAGAACACAGTTGCTCCCCGTAACTGATCAAACAAGTCGTCAATCCTTGGTAAAGGATATTTGTTCTTTATCGTGACCTTGTTCAATTGACGGTAGTCGATACACATTCTCATTGTACCATCTTTCTTCTTTACAAAGAGTACGGGCGCTCCCCATGGTGAATGACTCGGTCTAATGAATCCGTTATCTAGTAGCTCTTCCAATTGAACTTTCAACTCTTGAAGTTCAGCCGGTGCCATTCGATACGGAGGAATTGAGATGGGTTTGGTGCCTGGTTCAACCTCGATCTCAAACTCGATCTCCCGGTCTGGTGGGAGTCCCGGAAGTTCTTCAGGGAAGACTTCTGGATACTCACTCACCACTCTTACTTCCGTGAGACTCTTCCCTTTGCCTTCCTTGCCTATGACATAGGCTAAGTAAGCATGACATCCCTTCATCATCATACGCCTTGCCCTCATAACCGATATGATGCAAGGATTGAATTTCCCTCTATCTCCCTCGAAGCATAGAGTGTTCCCTTCGCCATCCTTTAGTTCTAACACCTTAGTGTAGCAATCTACCTTTGCATGGTGTTTCTCAAGCCAATCCATGCCAAGTATAGCATCAAACTCAAGCATGTCTAATGGTACAAAGTCCCCCACTAGATGATGCTCCCCTATCTCCACATTACATGAAGGATAGTAATGTTTCCTCTCTACATCGTCTCCCAACGGTGTAGAGACCAACAGAGGTTGCGTCATCGCCGTTAATGGCATGTCCAAACCCTCGGCAAATGCTTCGCTCATAAATGAACGTTGCGCCCCGGTGTCGATGAGAATTCTCGCTTGTCTACCGTTGATCTTTAGCGTTCCTACATTTATAAGTCATGTGAGAAACACCACTCATCGTCCGGAGTGAAAAGGAGCTGAAAGAAAATTTCAGCTTGGAGTTGCTCTATACCCGGTCAGGTACTACCCTATGCCCGGTCGGGTATTGCTCGAACCCCCAAGGGAAAAAATTTCCTGTACATTTTGCCCGGTCGAGTCCCCACCTCATACTCGAACAAATACACTATACCCGGTCGGGTATATGTCCATACCCGGTCGGGTACTGCTCAAATTTTTAATCAATTTGCTCCCTGTGGATTCTGCTCGATCGAGTACACGCCTCGAAAACAAAATTTTTACCGATACTCGATCGAGTACATAACCATACCTGATCGAGTATGGCTGGAATTGCCAAAATCGAAGGGTCCTGTTAAACTTGCTCGAACGAGTGCACACCTCGAACCCGAAGAATTCCCCATACCCGGTCGGGTCTATAGGGATACCCGGTCGGGTATAACACATTTTTCGAATGTTTCACTTCAAACGAATGAATAAAACGCATGTGAGGTCAAAAGATTACCTGCAATGGAGTCCGGGTTGGCCCGAGCATCAGCCTCGGTCATTGCGTACACCCGTGCTTGGGTCCTCCCTTGGTTAACGGACGCGGCGTTACTAGCCGTGGGTCCGCCCCTTCCCGTGCCGCCCTGCGATGGTCCCGCACGACCCCTACTAGACGTAGGTGCCTCAACAGCTTCCGACGGTCCACCTCCACTCAACATTGGGCAAGAGAGTTTGAGGTGACTTGTGCTACCACACTTGTAGCACCGGGGTGGTTCATTGCACTTCCCGGAGTGATTCTTGTTACAATTTGGACACCTCGGTGGCCTCCCGCTCCCCGAGCTATGCCCTTGCCCTCCTGGGCCCTTACTCTTCTTTGCCGGTGGTTCCGGCGCCCTGAATGATCTTCCATTCCCGGCGTGATGTTTCCGAGAATGGTCTTGGGGTCCAGAATTCCCCCATCTTCTTTTCTTCGCCTCTTCGGCATCTCTCTTCTTCCTTTCATTCCACTTGGCTTCCCCAAGTAGCCCCTGATCCACAATCTCACTCAAGGTCATGTGATGATTGTAGGTAGCCCGATCACGAATATCCAACTGTAGGGTATCCCAGAAGTGATTAGCCATACGGTTCTCATCCATGGCGTACTCGGGTATGTACCGTGCCAAATCCCGGAACCTCTGTTCCAATTGCCTTACCGAGCACCCATCCTCCTGTGTCAAGGTCATGTACTCCTTTCTCTTCTGGTTCTTCTCAAACTCTGAGTAGTACTGGTTATAAAATTCTACTTCGAATTTCTCCCAGGTGGTCTCACCGTGGAACTTTCCTTCCACGCCTTCCCACCATACAGCAGCTACCCCCTCTAGTAGCCTGGTAGCAATCGTTAGCTTTATGTCAAGTCCGATCTGCATATCCCTAGTCGCCTCATTCAATTTCTTGATCCAGTCGGCAGCCACCGATATATCACCCTTGCCATCAAATGACTTACACCCCAAGGCCCTCGCCTCCTTGAGGTATTTGGAGATTCTTACACAGAAACCTCCCCCCTGTACCCCCTGTGTCGCCACAGGAATGGCCACTGAAGCTCCCCGGCTTCCCTGACCCGAAACTCCCTGAGAGGCACGCCTAGCTTGGCGCCTAAGATCTCTCCTCAGCTTTTCCTTTTGATACCACTCAAACAATTCACCCATCTGGGCGAATTTGGCATCACTCTCATCATTGTCATCATCGGTATACGTATCACCCCCATCGTATGGGGTCTCCTCATGTTCCGTTTCAGGAACATATGTTGAGTCATAATCCTCGGTGTGAGTTCCATGCACCGAGCTAACATGGCCATCGCTCACGGTTTGAGCTTGATGACCTCCACGGCCTCCACGGCCTCCACGGCCTCTCCTACCGCCTCTCGCACCCCGAGATGCAACCTGGCTGGCCCTTACGGACGTCACCGGAGTTTGCCCTCTCGGGTTATTCCTCGTAGCCATGCGTCTACCCTCCATTTCTGAAAGAAATTTGGAATGAGCCGTTAGACTCGTATCAATGTCAATTGACGGAATAGTACAAAAGACACCACTTGGTCCAACATTATGGCCAACAAACTGTTAAGGGTACCGTCTTAACAATAAGAGGTCAATAACTTGGTTTCCAACGGTTCCTTAAGTACAAAAACTTTTGCTCATGGTTTTGTTCAAAACACTTTTGATGTTACTATATTGAGAGGTTAATTATATAGTTTAGAAATCGATGGCTCTGATACCACTTAATTGTCACGCCCCGGACCGCGTCCGTGCCACGTAGACAACCGCCGTACAACCCAACAAGAACAAGGTGGTTCATTCTTCTTAGATCATACAAGGCGTCCGTTAGATTCCTTTGCCAAACCGATTAGTAAACTCATACAATCAACATCAATATATATTAGTCAAACAAATGCGGAACGGAAAATATGTTTGATAATTAGCCACACGTGGCAAACACGAGCACGCAGGCCCTTTAATAGTTTAACAGAAAACATTGATCAAATATCCATGAGCAATTACATTGTTTCAAATAAGAATGGAAGCACGAACCACGTCTTCCTTATTGATGATCACCCTAGGCAAAGGTGCAGGAATCGGTCTCAAGCCTTAACCTGAAAAATGTGAGGGCCCCCGAAGGGGTCAGTACTCCATAGAAGTACTAGTGACAAGCAGGCTATATGAGGAATAACTAATGTCTCAGACACGAGACCCAAAAATAGGATGATACATATATTTATAGGTGTAACCATTGTCACCCCATTCCCAAGATAATACATACTGTATATACTTGTAAAATACTTGACCCGTAGGTCGTTTTCTCACAAAAGAGTCTTTTAGAGACAAGGTACTTACCTAACCTTTCCCCTTTCATTCCTGAATGCCTAGCTTAAAAGCTACATTCTACCTTCATAATATCCTACCGAGTTTCAGGAGTGTTAACCCTCCCGGGGATACTCAACCCCAACTGAGTTTTGGGATCATTTACCGTCCCGAGGATGCTCAACCTCAACCGAGTTTTAGGATTGTTTACCGTCCTGAGGATACTCAACCTCACCGAGTTTTAGGATCATTTACCGTCCTGAGGATACTCAACCTCACCGAGTTTTAGGATTGTTTACTATCCTGAGGATACTCAACCTCACCGAGTTTTAGGATCGTTTACCGTCCTGAGGATGCTCAACCTCACCGAGTTTTAGGATCGTTTACCGTCCTGAGGATGCTCAACCTCAACCTTATTTCTAACCAAACCCTAACCTGGATATGGCTAACCTTTCTTTCAACCAACTATGGACAATACCTAGCCCTATAGTCATATAACAATCCTTAGTAACCAACGTGGACGGGTCCCACCTGATCGGTCCACGTTAACCCACTCAAAAACTACCCGTTTTGAGTATAACCCAATACTCGATCGAGTACCCATCAATACTCGATCGAGTACAGGAGACAGGAGCCCATAAGGCTAATTTACAAGGCATACTCGATCGAGTATCTATTCATACTCGATCGGGTATAGGAGACAGCAGCTATTAGGGCCAATTTTCAGCAGACACCCGGTCGGGTATGTAGTTGACTTGGCGGTCAACGCCCGTTTGACCGCCCAAACGGAGTCCGATTAACGTGAAATTTTACATGCATATTCTACTTGAAGTCCTTGATCCAAAAATACCATTTTTGACCCCTGGATCATTGTACATAATAAGTTATCACATTTTTAATCACCAAACATACAAAACATGCTTTTCAACTTTGTTTTATATATAATCATGGCATAAGCCAATACTTGATTAACTTTAATCATTCCGTAAAACATATCCTTGATTATTTTAGGTAACCTCATGCCTCAATCAAAAGTTATAAAGCATATAGCCGTCTCCTCACCTTAATGAAGCTTATGAAGTTCTAGCCTCCCCGATTTGGTCCCGGTGCAACTCCGGTGAACTTCAACTAACTCCGGCGACAACTCCGGCGACCCTTTCAACTCCGTGAAAGTTCTTGGAATACCTTATACAAGTTAATAACAAGGTTGTATCATCATAAAACCCATATCAACACTAATAACCTCTAAAAGGTTATTTTCCGGCAAACCCGTCAACTTTGCTCTCAAAGCTCGTTTTGGGTTTAGACCACTTTCCAACTCCTATTCTACAGCTTTACATGTGTAGAACTATCCTAGGAGTATGAAACATGATTAAGGAGAAGGAATGGGATTAATGAAGTCATTACCTTATTAACCACAAGTTTTCGCACCTAAAACTCCTCTTTTCTCCTCTCTTTTCCTTTCTTCTTCTTCCTCTTGTTCTTGGTGCGTGTGAGGATGGTAAGGATGGAGTTTGCAGAGATTCTCTCAGCTATGGGAGTGGTATGGACGAGTTGTATGACTTTGGGGTGATGGAGAATGCCTTTTTGGCATTTCTCATAATAATATCAAGGGTGAGGTCCACTTGCTTCATTGATTGGTCTTCCAATCAATTTCCCTTGCTCCTCCACATTAGTGTGCGGCTTCCCTACTGGTTTGCAGCATCAAAGTCGTGGGGTGGCCCCCACTTTGATGGGTGGTCATCCCTTTGTGTCCCCGAGTGTACACTCGGTCCCGAAAGTTGTATTTTCCGGACTATTTTAACTATATTTCATTTTATCGAGTCAAATGAAATATGTATCATTCTTCCAATTATTATTGGCTAATAGAATGAATGTATTTCCCCCAACTTTTAATTCGATGGTCTCCATAATTTATTATGGCTTTTTATCTGATATTACCTCGGTACCGATAAATGGGCTTTATATGCCCAAAAGGTTACTCACATAACTTCTATGGCCCAACCCGGCTATCCACCATTATACACATATTATCTTGACCCAAATGAATATAATATGTATCCCGATAATATCGGGCGGCCCCCACTTCCGATGTGGGCCCCACGTGAATTTTACTATTCACGTAAAAGAAATGATAAAAATTCACAATCCCGTAAAATGCGTTTATTCATTTCTTGGGTTCAATACATAATTTGATAAATTACAAATACTTGGGAGCGGTGTTACACTTTTGATGACCTATATAACCCAAGGAGCTAGTAATAAAAATCTAGAGAAGATTTGGAGCAATCCTAGAGTGAGAAAGTAGCTAAGTGTATTATATTTGGGAAAATAACAGTACAAACAATAATTGTGGATCAATATCCTCATTTAGGAAGGTGCTTTTTGTAGGCAAAATACAAGACTTGGGCGTTAATTAAGACCAAAACGCTAGCTAATGACTATATAACATGTGTCCATTGGAATTCTTACAGAACTTGCCTAGCTAGTGACATCATCTGTTGTGTCATTCTTTCATAGGATGATGTCAACAATGATGTCAGCTCTTGTGGGCTCAGACAATGATGTCAATCCTTGAGAGTTGAGAAAGATGCAACCTCTGGATACGAATGTGTGGAACGGACGGGAAACGACTAAGTGTAGAAAGTGTAACTAAGATGAGATGAATCGGGTCTGCTTAGCATCTTCTGGTAGTCATGCTCGGCCTAGAATGGAACAGGCTCACTAGCCGAGAGTTGGGTCTAGACTATGACAGCGGCATAGTCTCGGCCCACTTATGTAGATCATAGATAGTTTGGGCTCCTGATCTAGATCGTCAATCTCTCAATCCTTGGGGTATATGATGATATACTCCATCAACTTTCATTAAAATATATAATTTACTCGCTCCGTCCCAAATCGATTTGCAAAGTCAACATTTTTGTCAACCAATGTTTAAGTAAAATTCCTCTATTGATAATTAATTCAATTTTAATAATTAAAATTTACATATTTAGAAAGTAGACTAAAATCTCTATGAAGTTGAAAAATCCAAATTATAACATAATTAAGAATTGATATCCCAAAAAATTGACTTTGCAAATCAATTTGCAACGAAAGTAGTATAACTTTCATAAAATTTTACAAATCAAAACCACTGTCTAATGTTTACCATCGTTTATTTTAAAAGTCAGAGATGTCAAAGTTATATTGTATGATAAATCTTAATATAGACAAATTTACACATATGTTCATGTCCGGAATTCTAGACAGGAACCGCCGTCCAGACGGACGGCGGCGTTTGGCCGCCTTCCCGGTGGCATTTTTTGATTAAATTTTTATGGCATGTTCTCCATCAAGTCTAGTTTATCCACAAAAATATTCAGCCAAAAACTCAATCGGGAAGGTCGTCAAATGATTTTTGCAAGTTAACTGGTCCGGAATATGTATTTTCCAGACCAGTTAACTTGCAAAAATCATTTGACAGCCTTCCCGAATGAGTTTTTGGCTGAAATTTTTTGTGGATAAACTAGACTTGATGGAGAACATGTCATAAAAATTTCATCGAAAAAATCTATCCAGAAGGCGGCCAAACGCCGCCGTCTAGACGGCGTATCCGGTCAGGAATTCCTGACCGGAAGAGTACTCGACAAATTTATTAGTTACGATACATGATCCGTGATAAGTCCATATATGTTCTAACTCGTGTTAATGCGTGTTCAAAACACATGTTCATATCAAGCATAATCGATTGCTTTATTTTGCTAAGAATTATGTTATCATGTCTAACTTGTTGTTGGTGTTTTTTCAAGACTTTTTATCAGGTATTCAAAGAAGAAAAACCAACAGCGGACTTTGAAAAGGATAGAGGATAGTTCGGGATCTAAAATAAGGGAAATGGGCAAAACCATTAAAAGCCCGTTAGGGTTATATTCACATAAGAACCCACAACGGTTATGATTTATTCGATTGAGAAAGTCATTTTCAAACCATCTTTGTTGTGAATTCTCAATTATTACGAAGTATCTTTTAAAACCGTTGAAAGCCCGTTAGGGCTGTAATTTCATGCAGAATAGATTAACAATATCTGTGTGTTTCATGGCACTTTTTCACACATATTCCCACCCGCAAAGAGATAAATATGGGTAAGGGTATACCATTTGAAAACGCTATAGAGGCATGCCACAATAAGATCTAGCTTGTCTAATTTGTGTGATCATTCGTTGCATGTACTCTAGGTCATGAGAGCAGTAAAAACTTAGTATTGATTGTGCTGCTCACATAGCTTGTATCGTTGTTATTATTATGTGTTCAATCCTAGATCATTTTCTGAAATTTAAGTGTCCCGGAACCAATCCTCACTCTGTTTTTATTCAATAACTCATACAATTGAGTTTTCACTGCGGTTTAGTTTTAAACAATCTTGCACGGACATTTTATATCTTATCGAGAATAAAGATGCTGGTCCACTTTAGTTTATTTTACTTTGTATTGGGCCTTACCATTCGGCCTTATTCATTTTGTATCCAGTCTTTATGTAATACCTTTTTACTATTTTTAGAAACCTAGATTCAACAATTCATACTTTCAATTCATACGATCAAAACACTCTGTATTATCGATTTTCATCTTCTTCAATCGATCTGAATTTCTGAGTTCAATTGTTAACATATGTTGTAATTGAAATCATTGAAAATAACATAACGCTTAATTCACATTTTTGTTGTCGTGTAAAAGATATACACATACTTTAATCCTTAACTACATATATTTTAATGAAATTATATTATATTGATAGAGATAAAAGTTACAAGTAAAGGGCGTCCTCATCCATGAGATTATTAGGGGGTGATTGTAGTGACATGATCAAAATGTGAATCCAAATTATTTTGAGATTACTTGTTAAATTAGAGTTAATTGGTTAATGCAGGATCAGCAAAACATAACATTATTTCGAGATGATGGTTGAATTCAATTTTTTTTAGAATAAAACTTCACTTTCATTAATTCAAACTATCATTGTTCAACTGACTGACAATACAATTAGGTGGACTACAAATCAAATAATAATCATCCCGACATAGAAAGGGCAGCCCGAGCAAGCTTATGAGCTACCACATTCGCGGATCTCTGAAGCATGACTTCTATCCTAGCTTCATTACGAAGACTGAGTCTAATATTATTATTTCTTAGTTACGTCGAATTAATTTAAAGATAAGAATCGTAAAAATATGATTATGTGGGAAGCATGAATGAGGATGCTCTATTGACAGATCAGAAGAAATTTAAGGAAGCTAAATATAGGGAGTATAATGCAAGTTCTCAAAAGATTAAGAAATTACAAATCAAAGAAATAAGAAATGGTAGAACTAGTAAATTATTGTATTTGTTGTCGTGTTTGAATGGTCCTTGTAATCTCCTCAGTAGTCTCTTGTACTTTTTGAGAAACATCCAAAGTAAAGTCTTCTTTCACTTGTGGCACACTAATCACAGTTTGCATACATACATGTCTAGTTACGAGAAAGTTTTTATTTGCATATCATTACATTCTTCCTCGTAATATCCTCAATACCGTCAACTAGACATTTTCCACAATTCATGTCATCTATAGGATCAAATGTGAAACTAAATGATGAGAATGAAGCAATGATTCCATTTGCCAACTCTAAACTAAAGTAAGTTTCATATTACTTATTCAACAAAGTGAGTTATTAAAAGTCTATTTATTCCAGAAAAAAGTCTAATCACTTAATCAATAAAGTAATATTAGGAGTTCATAATTCAACAAAGTTTTTTTTTTTGAAAATTTGTCTTTTTTTATTGCGAAATTACTGAGTACTAAATAGACAAAGTTATAAAGAAAAAAAACATATTATACAAATAGGTTATGGGTTAAGATTGGGACAAGAGGGGGTGGTGTAATTTTTAAGAAATGTAGAGTTACAAGTTGATATTGAATTGATAAAGTGTGAATAAGGTAAGAATTGATTAATTAGGACCACAAAAATATTACCTGTGACAAATAAGGCATGAGACAAACTTAGTAAAATGAACAAAAAAAAACATGAGACAATCATAAGGGGACGGAAGTAGTTATTATGACACGCATTGCGTGACAATGTAAATGTTCAATATTATTTGCTATGAAAGCCATTTGCATGCACAAATTATCTGTTTGATATGTATACATGTATACAATTATACAAATATAGTTCACTCAACAAACGAATGGAGTTGTGGTGAGTAAAATTTGAAAAGGGAGTTGTGCAACAATAACACTAATAAATACGAATTTCTTGTTTTGAATGGAAGACATAAAAAGGAAGCAAATTATTCTACATGTCATGGAAGATCACATCAAATCCAAAGAAAAATATATGTGGGTGCATTTAAGGGTACAAAGAGAAACATAAAATTAACTTTTACCAAATAGCTTCGTGGAAAACAAATAGCATCCATTTCGACCTTTTTAAATCTACATATATAAACTTATAAATGGGGGAAAGAAAACTTAATAGGCTCCCCTGATCTCAAATTTTGTATATATACGACACTTATTATAAACTATTAGCTATTTTCGACCAAAACTTAACATGTTTACAAATTGAATT